GGCTAGCGCAGATAGCCCTCGTGTAGCTTTGCGCGAAATTCAACAACAAACAATCAAATCTCTGATGCTTTTACAGTTGTTTATCATTTCATCACTGCCCCTAAATTTATTTGGATCTAACTAGAAATATCACATAGTTGGGAAGAGGATAAAATCCTCTGTTCGATACATCCCATAGACACATCTGGACCGTTACAGTTTTCAATACTTTAAACATACCGTTAAAAGTCTTGCCACTATTTCCATATCATAACAGGAAAGAATCACAAAGTTTACAATAGCTGTGTATTACATATATTGTCCAGTCTGTGTTTTAATATAAAATATAACAGTTTTCTGAAATGTATCTTCTGCTGGTATTGATTGTTAAAGGTTGTTTTATTAGCCATGTCACTATGGTTACACTTTTCTGATGTCTTCACTCTTGCATGTTGGTAGAGAGACTAGATATAACATGGTTTATGTGTTTCTTGTCTGACAGCTGCATTGTACAAAATGAGGGGAGTCCGAGTTGAATATGTTACTATGTTTCCCTGCCGTACTTTCTTATCCTTCCATTACTCATACGTATGTATGTTAGGCTTCTACTACCTGTTAATGGTCACTGACACCCTTTAGTTAACGTTGAGACTAGAGTAAGACCTCGGGAGGATGCTAGAGTACCTTTAGGATGCAATAGTAGTCTTCTAGCTCTTTGTGATTCTTCAGTTATCATCCTCGTCGTCTGAGAGTATTCCAATCCTCCGGCCGATACACTTCACAGACTTTGTGAATTCTTCCTGAACCAAGTTGAAAGACATTGCTAAGAGAGCCATGCCGAACAGCAAGTAGAGAGCGCACAAGCCAAGGGTTAGTTGGGCGTCTTCAGACAGCACTGCAGTTCCAGGAACCAAGTCTCCGAATCCGATAGTTGTTAAAGTTATGAAGCAGAAATAGGAGCTGTCTAAGAAGTTCCAGTCCTCCCAGATAGTGAAAAGAAAGGCACCACCGCAGATGTAGCCAATAACAATAGCAGAACACAACCAGATAGGGACACTCACTTCTTCTTCTTCGTCACTCTCCTCAGACCCGGATTCGTCTTCCTCTTCTAGGTCCAGTGTATCTTCCTGGCGGCGGCTTCCCCAGTTACATTGGTCAGGCCGACGCAACTTTCCCTGGGGCAGATTGTACGGGTAAGAAGGGTCCAAACGCCCCATAGAAGGGTGTGAGAGTTCAGTTGGGATGTCTTCTCCACTTTGAAGAACATACTTATTGGAAATCACAGGAATCCGATCAGCACTCAATTTATCGGCATATGGGGTCCGCTGTGGGGAACTGAAATTTCTAGGGGCCAAGTACTGAGGCGAACCAGGAGCTATGGAAGATGGGGAGGCAGGAATAGTAGGAGAACTTAATGGGGAAGTAGGACTGCGGGAGTCACTGTCCGACAGAACAGTAGCTGGAGCTGTGCAATAACT